TAGGAACATATATCCGAAGTTTCAGCCTCCCAGCTTTCCTGGTTGCTGAGATAAAAGTGGGTGACAGAATGCACTCGCTTTCCGAACACACACACACAGACAGCCTCTCGACAATATACGTTTTTGCTGGCTGTAGCAGCGCTACAGCGCGCACAGCAAAAACGCATAAAAAGCGACCGAGCTTCATGCAAAGAGCTGGTAATCATGTACCTGGAAGTCCATGTGGCTCTATAGTGCGACACCCTCATCCCAATCGATGTGCATTCTGCCGCATGCCGGAAGAAGTCAAAACACGGCCAATATGAGCCCAAGTATTTGGCTGCAGCGCAAAGATTATTCCTGCCATTAGGAATCCTCGAGTTTAGCACGAAAACGCATGATCGCACCCGGCAAGCCTAGTGCGTTCCAGCCTAGTTTGCATTTGCATATAAGCAAAAGCGCTCAAAAGGGTTTTCTTGCGCATGTCTTTGATTTCGTTGGTCCATTTTCAGATACAGTTTTTTTCAGCATTGAAAAATGAAAAATTACAGGGATTGGATTCCAGCGTTATTGCCATACGTTGCGTTATCGAGATGCAGCTCGACAGCTTTTCCACGTACTGGCTCAACAACTGACACTTTCTTGCCAGTTGCACCATAGGCAGTAAAACTCAGTTGGCATTTGGCTGAAGCTGGTGTGAAATACAAATACTGAGCATCGAACAGTCCAGTGAAGTGAATGTCTTCCACTTCCCACTTCCTTCCGCACCCTGAAATCATTATCCGCTTATCCACTAAACGAGTTCACCTCCCTCCGTTGCCACTCCTCCCAGTCAACCGTTCCTGGAAAGCTCAGCACAAATCTCGCACATCATTAAGCGATTCCTCCAAAATAAGCTGTACTGCAGTGCCTCATTAGAATATTCTGTGTAAACACAAAACAGCTTTCTGTAGGTCACTCGTAAAAAAGTCAACTAACAGTCCCAAGCCTGGCCAGCAGTATAGCAAAAATATTCCCTTTTTTCATCCTGTTATTATCGCGAGAATTCAGTAGTTTGTCAGCCAAAAAAAAATTTTTTTTTGGAAGAATTCCGTTTATGCGATTAAAAAGGCGTGGAAATGCGGACGATAGAAATTATATTAAACAATTCTGGTAATAAGGTGCTGAAAAATAGCTCAGTATGGTGGTTTTTGCACATCAAATGAACTATGGTTTTAACTAAAGAAAGACTAATCGTGCAGCTGATAGTTTTTAGGAACAAGAAAATTGAGGGCACCGTGAAAAAATTAGCTGCAGAACCGCTCCTGCAGCATAAATTATTACCAATCGCTGCTCGAAAAAAAAAACATACTTCGCTCGAGGACCGGCCAAGGCATGTAACATCCAAAATCGGCGTGTTTTGTGATAGGTTTATTAAGGAGTCCTCGACCTCCCGCAACCATCATGAAATCGTTCGCACTTTCAGCATACAGTGTGAACGCATCACTGGACTGATACACTACCACCGGCTTATTAGCCTGAAATGACGCATCTGACGCTTTACAGCAGTCACTCAGGGAGTTGTTCAGGAATGATTTTATCCGCTCTGTTAGGTCTTCCACAGCTAATTTTTTATGCATTTTGTGCTGTGCAACAACTGCACAAAATAGGATATTGTCATGGGGTTGTCTGTGTGTGTATGTGTATGTCAGTGTGTCCGATTCATCTTGCCCGCAACTTTCAATTCGGGAACCACGAAAGCTAGAGGACTTAAATTTTACGACAACGTCCCTCACTCGCATGTGACCCAGCAAGTTTGGAATAATTTCTACCGCGCATCTAGGTGTCATATACGGCTTCGTGGAAATTTTGACGGGAAATCATTGTCTGGTAACTATAAAAGCTAGGAAGCTGAAGTTTTGTAGTAGTATCCCTGCCCACATGCAACCACAAACAAATTTAAATTCAGCCTTCCCGAACGCTCCGATATTATGCACACATGAGGATTTTGGAGTGGAAATTAACTCGAGAACTCTGAAAGCTAGGAAGCTGAAATTTTGCAGTGATATCCCTTGCGCACATGTAACCACTCAAAAATTCCTTCCCGCATGCTTGGGTATCACATACGGCCCCATGAAATTTTTAGCGAGGAAAGATGCTATCTCTGGGACTATAAAAGTCAGTAAGCTGAAATTTTACGGCAGCGTGCCACATATAAACCCGCAGGTTTAAATTCATCCTTCTCGCTCTCGAGTATCACGTGTGGCCTCGTGAAAGTTTTGGCGGGGAAATTATTATCTCGTGAATCAAAAGCTAAGGAACTAAAATTTTACGGCAATGTCCCCTGTTCATGTATAACTCTGCAGCTTAAAATTCAGCCTTCCCCTAGGTCTGGGTACCATGTAGCCCTGTGGAAGTTTTGGTAGGGAAAATTACCTTGGGAACCACAAAAGCTGCAAAGCTGAAATTTTAAGGTGCTGCCTCCTACCGACGTACGATCCCGCAAATTCGAATTCGGCTTTCACTTATGCCTGGGTCTTAACGTCCTCGTGAATGTTTCGGCAGGAAAAATTATTTTCCAGAAACCAGAAGAGGTAGGAGGCTGAAAATTTCAGAAGGATGTTTTCTGCCTATGCAGGGGCCACAAAAACTCAGATTCAATTCCCAAATATGTTGAGTCTCACGCACCATCACGTAAAAGTTTTGGCGCGAAAATTACTCGGAGGCCAAAAAATCAAGAGGTAGATTTTGGAATCGTGTTCACCGTACAAGGTTTTAGTGGAAATTTTCGCAACTTAGGATCCAGATAACATTTCAATTATTTGCGCACAAACCAATATGCAAAGTACTGGAAATGCTTAGCCGGCGAAAGTTCGCTAGACTAAACTGCGCAAAACGCAAGATCGCACCGGCTACTCTGGTGCGCGCCGCCACTTAATTAGTGGAGAACCGGCAGCTCATGAAAGCAACGGTATGCCATAATCATGACCGACGTTAGAACCATGATTTTTCTATCAGTCCTACAAATAATGAATCAGTTTTGCATCTGAATTATTTTCACCAGATCCAAGACTCTTCTATTTCTGGAGACAACCAGTGAATTTGCCACCGCCTGCTTAACAGCTTACCTTTCAAACAAAATGTGGTACATGTACAAGTTTGACGCACCAAACTCAGCTAATTGCTTAATGAACCCCGCATCTTTCGAAATTGATCTTTTGATGAGCATAGATCGGGAAGGAACTGAACCAATCGTCATTACGTTCGGATGCGATGTGCGCTCCACATGCCTCAAGATCAGTCTTGAAGCCTTACATTCTTTAT